TACATGCAATCAACAAAACACTAACTAGTTTTTATTTATTGTTTCCAAATCACTTAATCAACTACAATGTAGCTGTATTGGGCTTGTCTGGGATGGAAATAACTTTTTTCATAGCAGCACAGTGGTTTAGATTTTGTGACAAAAACAGTGATGATAATACAGCAATGTTTTGGCTGTTGCCAAATACTGCTTGCACAGCATGAAGGCCTTCTCTTTCTCACCACTTTTTCTCAGTTTCCCCATCTCAATAATAGGTTGAAGATGCACAAGAAGCTGTAAGGGGACACAGCCAGGACAACTCTTTTGAATCAGCAAAGGCATATTCCCTACCCTATGATGTGCTCAGCAACAAAACTGGGGTAATGCATGAAGAAGGTGTTGAGGGCCTGGGGAATTGTCTTCTAAGCTGGCTTTTGCTCGAAGCCTGTACTGGGATTGGTGTGCTTATAGGGGGTGGTAAATGACTGCCTTCGTATGGCTTCTCTCTTTGTCTTCCCTTCACTCATTAAACTATCTTTAACTCAGCCTGTGACTTTTTCCTTGTTTGTGCCCATCCCATGCTCTCCCCACCCTGCTGGGAAGGCATGATCAGGACACTGCGTGATGGTTTAGCTGCCAGCCACGTCAACCCACCACAACAGCTTATATTATTCTTATCACAATAACAAAGCTCACAACAAATGCTAATATCTTTCCAGCATTAATGAAGCCTGACCCTTCTACATTACCCTCAAATATTTTATTTATATCTCCCTTATAAGCCTTAGTTTAAAGTAGCAGACTATGCAGGGATATATTCAGGCTTTACCTGAGCAGTGACTGTGTTCCAGATGCATAACTCATTGCCATTCACAGGGAAAGCACAGTGGTGGTGACTGCACGCCAGCTGAACAAGGGGCTCGGGCAGTTTGGCTTTAAACAAGCGCTTTTCGCAGACAACGTCAGGATCGCTGCTTCCTCCAGAAGAACAACGGGCCCTGGCGCTTTCCATCTTGCGGCTGGGAACGGACCACCGGGGCCGGCTTCTCCCTCCGGCTGCGCCTTGCCCGCGGGGGCCGAGGTTCACAGGGCCCGGGGCGGAGGACCCTCCCGCGGGGAGCCGGAGAGCCGGAGAGCCCCGCCCGGCCGGGCTCCGCCGCCTCCCGCGCGCCCGGCGCGGCTCGTCACCAGGGCAGCGGCGCCGCCGACGGGTGGCCGGGCGGGACAGGCCTCGCTGGCCGCGGAGCGCGACGGGCCTGCGGCGGCACCGGGGGTCCCCTGGCCTGGGCAACGGGCCCCGCGGCCGGCGACAGCCGCCCAGGCCTGCTGCTCCCTCGCTCTCCAAACGTGGCGGTTCTCCGCAGCCGTGCCCTGGGCTGCACAGAAAGCAGTGTGGCCGGCAGGTCCGGGGTAGAGATTGCCCCACTCGACTCCGCTCTAGCGGGACCCCAGCTGGAGCACTGCATCCAGCACGAGACAGGCAGGACCTGTTGAGCCGGTCTCTAAGGACGGATGCCAACACCTCTCCTGTCAGAAGACAGGATGAGAGAGGTGGGGTTTTCGCAGAATCAGAATGGGTCAGGTTAGAAGGCACCAAAGTGGGTCATATGGTCCAACCTCCCTGCTCAAGCAAGGTCATCCTAGAGCACGTGGCACAGGATTGTGTCCAGGTAGTTCTTGAATATCTCCGGTGAGGGAGACTCCACAACCTCTTTGGGCAATCTGTTCCAGTGCATGGTTACTCGCATAGCAAAGGAGTTCTTCCTCATATTCAGACAGAACTTTTTCAGCCTGGAAAAGAGAAGGCTCCAGGAACACCTTATAGCAGTCTCCGAATATATACAGGGGGCATGTAAGAAAGACAGAGAGAAATTTTTTTACCAAGGCCTGTAGTGTCAGGACAAGGGGCAATGGCATTACACTAAGAGAGGGTGGATTTGGATTGGACATAAGGAGCAAACTTTTTACAGCACAGGTGGTGAGGCACTGGAACAGGTTTCCTAGAGAAGCTGTGGATATCCTACCACTGAAAGTGTTCAAGGCCAGGCTTGATGAAGCTTTGACCAACTTGGTCTCCTAGAAGGTGTCCCTGCCCACAGCAGGGGGGTTGGACTAAGTGATTGTTAAAGGTCCTTTCCAACCAAACCCTTTCAGTGGTTCTGTGACGCAGAAGGCACAGGACAGACCAACCCATGACAGCACATGAAGCAGCATCACTAAGAAAAAAAAAAAAAAACCTTTTCTCTCACCAAGTTTGTGGATGATGCCAAATGGGGAGGAGCAGTCAGAAACCAGATGATGAGAATTTTGTGGAGTCCAACAAGAGTAAGTGAAGTCCTGCATTCAGCACAGAGTAACTCCATGCAAGAGGATAAGCTGAAGGATGGCTGTCTGGGAAGGGGCTCCACAGAAAGGATCCAGAGATTTTGCTGGAGAAGCGGAATATGAACCACCACTGTGCCCTTGCAGCAGAAGCAGGCAACAGCATCCTGGGCTGTGTTAGTAAATAGAGAGTAGCCAGTAGGTCCTGGGAGTGCTTTTTCCCCTTTATTTGGCACCTGGAAGGCCACATCTGCAGTGCTGTGTCCAGTTTTGGGGTTTTTTGGTAAAAGAAAGATATTGACATACTAGAGCAATTCTAGTAGGGGGCAAGAAAGTTGGTCAGGGTGTGGAGACGGTGATGTACACAGAGAGGCTGAGAGAACTGGGCCTCTTCAGCCTGAAAAAAAAGCAGCTGAGACCTTATTGTTGCCTATAACTACAAAATTGTAGGATACAGGGAAGACAGAGATAGACTTTTCTCAGAGGCACTCAGTGATAAGCTGGAACTTGTGAAAATCCAATTGGATGTCAGCAATTTTTTTTAATACCATGATGGTGGTTGAATATCAGAACAAGTTTCTGAAGAGTCTCTATCCCTGGAGTTGTCCAGGATCAAATGGACATGGTCCTGAGCAACCTGATTTAATTTAATTCCTGTTTTGAACAGGAAGTTGGACTGGAGGAGTTTGGAGACCTCTTTCAACCCCCAGGTTATGATTTTATGATCAAGTGTGTGATCTGCACCAACTTAAACCATTTTGATATAGATCAATCTGTGGACTCAATATCTACCTCAATTACATTTCAAACATACTTTCTATAGGAATATCTTATTGTGTCTATAATTAGGACTATGAGCATTTTTGCCCTATATGGGCATCTAATATACATATTATCATTGAGAAAACAATCTCCTTGTGTTACTTTTGCCTGGAGAAAGTACCAGTCCAAATTCTCTTTTGTGTCTGCATGTGAATTTGGGTAACGCCACTGTATTGAGCACCAGCTGCCCAGAGGTAACTCAATGCACTGCACATGACAGTGTTTTTCTGAACTGTGACTCATGGCTGGAAATACTAGAGAAAATTTTATTGCTGGTGACAATTTTTCATGAGTGATACAGTCATGAATGTGTTATGACAATTTAGTCATCAGTAAAGAAAGACAAACACTGACACAGGAAAAAAAGGTGTTGTTCTGCCAGGCAAACAACCCCTATGAGTCTTAAAGAACTTGTTCTGAAATGTGTTGTGTCTCAACTGCTTCTAGGCAGTTTAGTATGCTTTTTTACAATTTTCACCATAATTCATTTGCATCTTTTAATGCTTGCAGATATAATACTTCCAACATCTTACTGTCCATAACAAGTAGGGAACTAGTAGCAATCCAAGAAGTATCAAAGATCTTGGACTGATTTCTTGACTGATCCAACAGCAGTTAGAACACCAACTGCTTTCCCGCAGCTGAACCCTGAGCCAGTAACATCAATCTGATGGAGTCCAGTTCAGATCATCACTGCTTTTCACCCTTCCAGTAGGTGCTGTTGCTTCTCAATGGCCAAGATGCCACTCATCCACCACCATAACAGGCAGCAGATTTCTGTCCTGTTGGAACAAGGCGACAGTTTTATGAGAACATTAATGATGTCTAAGTGTGCGAAGAGAATTTTTCACCTCACCACACCCCCATGAAACACCTCCTGGTGATGCCCTGTTTCTATGCAAAACAGTGCCTAAAGGATCTTGGCTCCAGCAGGTTCCCACATCCTGGGTACTCACCCATGTCAATCGGAACTGACAGCCATGTGGAAAATGAGAGACTGTTGCAATTTTAGGGCATTTTAGGGAAATAGTAGTCCTTTACCATATCATGCTTTTGTGTCCAACAGTATATTTCTATTGGTCTCAATATTCAATCATTGTAAGAAGAAATTTAAAAATTAGGTTTAGCAGCTTTAATATTTTAATGTTTTAAGCAGTACTCTGTTTATAAGATTGAAATTGATTTTTAAAAAGATGAAATTTATGAGAATCTGCATCTGTCAGGTTTATGCAGCCCATTTGTTTGAGGTAGGAATGAACAGAACAAGTTATGTGGGTTTTATGAAATTGGAGGGCTTTGAAGACAGAACATTAACTCAGTTAATACAGGGCCCCTGGGGTACATAAACAGATTCTCTTGAATCTTCTAGAACACAAAGCACTTCATGCAGATTTTTTTTTTCATTTCAATCCTTCACTCTTGCTTATGATTTTAAAAAGCTCAGCCAGGTCAAGGTATCTGTTGAAATCAATGAAATCAAGGCGTATTCAGTAGGACAACAGACAACAGGCAGAAACTGATGCACAGGAAGTTCCACCTCGATGTGAGGAAGACCTTTACTGTTTGGGTAACTGCACATCAGAACGGATTGCCCAGAGAAGTTGTAGTTTACCTCACCGGAAATATTCAAGAACCATCTGGATGCAATTCTGTGCCATGTACTCTGGGATGACCCTGCTTGAGCAGGGAGGTTGGACCAGATGACTCACTGTGGTCGCTTCCAACCTACCCATTCCATGATTCTGTGAAAAGCAATATTTTGTTTTAATTTTTTTCTCTCTTCGCAGTGTTCTTCTGTTCTGTGATCTCAGGTCTGGTCTAGGCCGACAGCCAAACAAATTGTCACTAACTCCTGCAGGGACACACAAGCCCCAACAAGCACATTACATCCCATTTCAGTGCAGTTAAAGTTAATTTCTCCAATTTTAGGCTTTCATTGTGAAGACCGCTGAGCGTGGCGCAGCACACCGCCCACACTCGGACACCGTCGGTGTCTCACCGCCCTCCTTGGCCCTTCATTCAGGAGCCCCCGCGTGGCCCCGCCCCACCGCCAGCTCTCGCGATAGCGGGGCGGTGGCCGATGCCCGGGGCGGGGCGGGAGCGCCGGTGGTACTGGCGGCGATCGGGGGGCGGCGCGGAGGTCCCACCTGCCCCCAGCGACCCCCGCCCCCTGCCGCGCTCGCCGGGGCGCACCCGAGCGGCCCCCCGAGCGCGCAAGGGGGCGCGGCGTCCCGCCCTGCCCGCCGGCTCCTCAGCGCCGGCCTCCTCCCGGCCGCCGCGCTGCCCAGAGGCCCGCCCCGGGGAGGGGCTTCCCCGCGGCGCTCCGGCCGCACAGCGCTGCCGCACGTCCTCGGAGCCCTCGCTGCTCTTCCTCGCCGTGGCCGCGGCCTCGCCGTCGCCGGAGCCCCGCGGCAGGTCGGAGGTGAGCCGTGCCCCAGCCCCTGGCCGGCGGGGTGACGCCGAGACCACCACCGGGGCCGCCCCGCGCCCTCCGGAGCCGCTGCTGCCCCCGGAAGGTGTCCCGCCCGCGGGGAGGCGGGAGCGAGCCGGGTCGGGCAGAGGTGCTCGTTCCTGTCTCTGTCCAAGGTCTCCTGGAATTGCCACTCCTCCCGAGCGCTGCGCCAGCGCCAGGACGCTTTCGTTCGTCTCTAGATAACTTTAATTAATTTTCTGCTCAGATGTGGAGGTCCTCCTTTGCCTCCGCTCGAATATTTCATCACTACGTTGATGTAAAAGTGGCAGAGAGTAAGCTCCGTGATACGGGGAGACAAAAGACTGTCCTTTCCTGTCGCTGTTGAGGGAGTTTTGTCAGTCTGGCAGGTTCTGCGAATGCTGCGCCTCCGTCTTTTGTGCTGGCTTTGCAGAATTGTGGCTTTGTAGTAGAGAGGCCTCTGGGGCAGAAAACTTGGAACTACAGAAATAGTTGTACATTTTTTTCCCTGTAGATCTGTTTAATAGTAAGACCTCTAAGGTTTAAGTGACATCTCAGTGGAAGTAATGCAGTTTGTTTAGATGCTAGCAGGGTACAAAGCAACTTACAGGCAGCTTTCGCGTTTAAGATATTTTAAGTGTCCTTATGGAAGGAACGAGGGGATGAGAATCTTCCTCTTAAACTTGAACGTGTTTAGGATTGTGGTTCCTGTGATTTGCATGCCAGATTCAGTCAGCTATATACTTTGGAAGGGAGGTTGCTACTTTGCACGCACAGACTGAGCACAGCTGTTCAGAGGACTGCAGTGTGGCAGGCACGCTCAGGCAACCCAACTGGGACCGTGCAGCAAGGAGGGAAAAGGGTGTAAGAGCCTTGATCTTGCAGCAGTCATTTCCATCTTCCCCTTGCCCCAGTACTTTCAGCCTTCTCTTTTGTAAGCAAGTGCTGTAAAGGGCTGGGTGTTTGTAGGGTAACGAAATCTTGAAAGTAAATGCATTTTTTTCAGGGACAATAAGCTGAATTTGTCCCTAGAAACAAGCCACACAGCAGAATCATAAATCAATGTATTACCTCATTGGATAATGTTTTTCTTTCTAACTCCATTCCCAGTGCAAGTCAGAATGCCTACTGCTTCATGCGCACATCCAGATTTACACCTTTACTGTCTTTTGAAGTTGAGATGAGAGGATGGAAGAAACAAATAGGATGTCCTAAATACCTCATAAAAAGTTAAGCTTCTCCAAGCATGCAAAAGCCTTCCTTTTTTAAACTCTTTTATTTTAGTTTTTTTTAAACTGAAGTTAAAATAATTATTGGGTTTCATCCCTTCTGGTTACCTGTCAGATTTGTCAGGTATGCAGGTAGAATGAAACTAAAGTCTCTGTGTCAGTTCTGTATGAAAGAGCACTGGCTTGATGATTTTGTGTTTAACTTTAGGGAATTTGGGCCATTTTCAATCTGATTCAGAACTCTGAATCTTAGCACTGTTTTTTGTTACTATTAAAAAATAAAAGTTAATGAACACACTTAATTGAAGTTGTTTAACTTGGTATGGGCTAGAGAGGATTTATAAAAATCCAAAATTAAAAAAAAAATCAATTCCTGCCAAGAAGGGAATATACTAAAATCTGATTTGTGTTTTGTATTCACAAGGTAGCAAACGGGACACGGGAAGAGTCCAAGTACAACTTGAAACCATGGCAGCACACTGGAGAAAAGTCCTGATAATATGTGTGACAGCTCAAGTACTACTTGTAAATGCCTTTGAGGAAGAGGATGTACCTGAGGAATGGATTCTTCTTCATGTTGTTCAAGGTCAGATTGGAGCAGGAAACTACAGCTATTTGAGACTAAATCACGAGGGAAAGATAGTCCTTCAGATGCGAAGTTTAAAAGGTGACGCTGACTTGTATGTATCTGATGTGACACTTCACCCCAGCTTTGACGAGTATGAGTTACAGTCTGTAACCTGTGGCCAAGACATGGTCCACGTGCCTGCACACTTCCGCCGCCCTGTGGGAATAGGGATTTATGGCCATCCCTCTCACCTGGAGAGCGAGTTTGAAATGAAAGTGTACTACGATCGAACAGTTGTACAGTACCCATTTGGTGAGGCTTCTTATAACCCTGAGGAGATGGAGGCAAACCAGAAATACTCACAGTCTACAGAAGATGAATCTCAGGATGAGGAGTCTGTTTTCTGGACTATACTTATTGGAATCTTGAAATTAATACTTGAAATTCTTTTTTAAATTGATACACACTGGACTAAGTCACACTTCAGCCTGTGAAATTGAGTATCAATGACATGCTGTAATATTTAATACTCCTTGTTATGTTTCCTGAAGAGGTATTCAGGTTACATTTCCTAAACCAGAAAGGAGGCGGGGAGAAAAAGCCATATTTAATTTTATATTGTAAATCCTCCCCTCTATGTAAAATGAGCAGCAAGCACAGTATTTGCAGTGCTCTTCAGAGATCAGGGCTTAAAAATGAATGTATAGTTGGGATCTTGTTAACTTCACTTTTAAATAGGTGCTTGGGAACTCCAATTCAGTATTTTCTATTGTTTTTTATAAAGAAAAACGAAATAAACTCCTGCACTTCAGTGCCCCCCCAAATATCCTCAATTTAGAGCATATTTAAAAATAAAACCTGCTGCTTTTCGAGCAAGTATCTCCACTTAAACCAACTAGCAATGGGTTTGAGTGTATTCATCAAGTTGAGGAGCCGAGGGCAAAGGAAGGAGAAAACAATCAATCACCTAAGGGGATAGGTGGTCTGTATTTTGGCTGTGTGTGCTCTGCATCATGTCAACCATCAGTCAAGCAGAGATCTATCAAGTCACTCATCGCCACTGCAAATCCATGACCTGAATCAAATGCATGTTGCTTCTTTGCTGTTACTGTAGGGAGAGGGAGCCTTCAGCTGTTGTTACTTGTCAGTATGACATTTTCATGTCTCGTTAAAAACAACACAGCATATAGTATCTCGAACCTGAGGGGTGCTTTCTTACCCTTCCCTTTATAGCTTTTTGTGATTGATCTCTTTTTTTTTAGCACATCTTTATGCAGAAGTCATTAGCTTGCAAAGAAAATTTCTGCTGAAAGGAATTTGCAGTACATTGTAAGAAGGTCATGTCATACCCACTCTTCCTCTAAAGTTACTTTTCCCAGGAATATTTTTTCTTTGGTTGAGTCTTTCAAAATAACCAGTTGCTATGCAAGTAGAGTATATTTAAAATGCTCTGTAGTTTTCTTTTCATGGAGCTTACTGATGAGTGCACTAAAATAAACAAATACATTACTATAATTTTACACAAGTGGTGGATGTACAATTTAAATTGCATTACTGAAAGACTTCTCTTTTGGAGTGGAAATTTGGTTTGTCTGTCTCAACATCTGACAGGACATGATTAGTGACATGTATCACAAAGAAATAATTATATAGACAAATTTAAAAGTTTATTTGGTAAAAAGAAAAAAAAAAGTGGTATTGTTCCTCTAAAAGTGGTTGATTAAATAGCACCAAAGTATCACTTTAATTTGTGCATTTAAGTTTTGGAGAGCAAGTTTTTTGGGGTTTTTTAGCCCTCTTTGCTGTTTTTCCCCCTTCTTCCTCCTCTTCTGGGTACAGGAGGGTCTTTTTGACAACAATCACAAATCCAGCGACCTAAGAAAAGAAAGTTATCAATTATTGGGAAACTAAGTTTGTTACTCATCTAATTATGCACCTTTCATCATTCTAATAGGTGCTTACCCATTTGCAGTATTTCCTTTAATGCAAAAAACCAGTGCATTTCTTTAAAATTAAGCATCTTTTCTATAAAGCAGCATATACAATTCATGCTCCCTTGCAGACCCCTTACATGTAACCACTGGCTACACAAATCCTTATGGACCTCAAGAAGTGTCAGCACTGCTAAGGAGGTGGTTATTAGATAAGACTTGAGAAACAATTTTCAAGTTTGCCAGTTATATTTTCAGGTGACTGACTATAGTTCAAGGTTATGGGAAGTTACCCAGAGCAGAAATGAATGGCAGTTGGGGAGGCATTTAACTGTTTATATTACAACAGCTGGAATCATAAAGGCTGCTTTGGTAATTTTATAGGATTTTAGACATATGATTTATTTTGTTTACATTCTTATGTCAGCCTGAAAGTGAAATCAACCACAGAACCTGTACTAAAGTGACAGCTAGCACCAGTGCTTCCCAAAATGGGACTGTACAGCATTTCTGAAGTACTGTACAGGGCATACTGTCACTGCCACTGAATACTTATTCATAAACTTACTTACCATGGATTTAGTATTACATGTAAAGCAACAATAGCACCTGTTATTTTCTTTCTACAGCCTTGAGTTATTGAGATGATATGAGTGACTGGGTAATTTAAAGGTACAGGCAGCCTGCCTGCCATAGAGGTACTTCAGTTAGAGCTTTGATGTTTAAGTAAAAAAGGGAGGGAAAGAGTTTAAAGAGGTGTTTACAAATATTGAAACTACTTTTGAATTTAGAAGCCGAAATAGCTGCACCAACAATTAATGTGAAAGCTATGCACTAGCAATATGCAGCAATACCGTTTCTTTTACAAGTTTCTTTCATTAAAAGAGGTAAATACCCTCAGTGTTCTATGGATATGGAAAAAAAATAGTTCTGAGTGAGCCTGTTTGGTTTATGTTGTAAAAGTCCATTATATTTCCTATATAGGAATTGCCAGGTTAAACTGTGCACAACCAAATATACAGAAATAAAGCATATTAAAAAAATCAGGTCCTAGAGTGTGAATGCTTTCCTACAGCATTTCTTACTGCTACCCTTCACACTTGTTTTAAATTATTCTTTCAAAAGCAGTGCATGGATTAATTCTGAGAGAGCGCCCAGGACTCAGAGGAGGTGTGAAGGGAACAAGTAACTCTTACTTTATTACCTGAAGGGATAGCGTCAAGCCCCACACAAAAAGTGTGATAACCACGGTCACATACATCACAGAACATCATTTCTTCTTCATGGTGAGGCTGCCCACATATAATGCACGTTTTACACTCCATACATTGCCAAGGATAAGTCTTAATCATAGCAACAAGCTCCGGGGTCATATCAAGGCAAGAAGGGTGGCCTAGATTAAAACCAGTATTATTACTTTTATGTCTGAAATGAAATTTAAAATTAGTTACACTCTTTGCTTTTACCGAAGCTGAAACTTAGCTCACCTCCTGGTAAGATCCCACAGTGCACCAAGTATGCTAGTACTACAACATGGAAGAGAGATGGAGTCTTAAAGAAGGACAGAAAAGGCAACTGAACTGTTGCTGCACGTGTGTAGGACACTCAATATGTCCACAAAAAAATCTGTCAAACAAACTCCCTTAGGAATCCACTGAGTGTACGCAGATACTTACCACTGTTGTCACACTGGGAGCAATGTATAAGAGCTTCAGGTTTTCCTTTCTTGTTGGAGTCCTTACCCTTCAGACAAATTCCACATATAGCATTTGGAATGACCTTTGGCTGGAAGGGTAGAAGAGGGCTATAAATTCATTCCAGAAGAATTTACAGATTCAACAGGAAATGTCATCTATCTCCTTAACTATTAAAATTAATAAACTGTTAGGATGTGTGAACCTTAAAACACATGACAATAACTGACAAGCAGCGGCACTGAAAAAAAATCATAGATTAAGTACATAAAATTTTCCATTTGTCATACATAGTGAGTTATATATAAATCAAACTGTATCAAAATCATGTACTTGCTTCTTCCCATGAATTCATCAGCTGACATGCTCCTCAATGTAAACTAAACATGACAGGATGAAAAATTTCACTAAGTTTTTTCCAATAGAGAATACTACATTAAGAACTTCCATGTGGATTTCCTGTTTATGGAGGAAATTATATACAATTTATTTGCATTACATTTGTCCTTAAATAGAGAAAACTAATTACAAAAGCAATAAACTTGATTTTTTCTATCTAGCTTCAAATTATCTGGTTAGCTATGCCATACAGAGCTCTCTCTTTTACTATTCCTTCTTGTATCCACTCATAATCACTATAAGAAACAGAGCCTTGCATTTAACTACACATTTACATGCATAATTTTTCTAAGTGATCATGTGGAATGTGTCTGGGTCCATGAGATCCATTTAAAGGGTAAGAGAAATAGCAGGCTGTCACAATGGGGAACATTTGTCTACGTGTGTCTATTCTGTGTCTCAACTCCAGAGATACACCAACAGTTTTATCCTATTGAGGAAGAAGTACGGCATTACAAATTTCAGAAACATGGCAGTAGTTGTACTGAGCTTTGACCACTGCATAATGACATTAGTGACAAATGTAGTTTACACTTAATGCAGTGCTCACTGATGTTAAACTGACTAATGCCGGAGTTTTAAAAACAATAGTGCTGTGTAGACACAGCTAGTAGAGAGAGCTGAAGGCATATCCTCTTTTAAACAGCTTGTCAGTAAGCAAGAAGGATCCCAGTCAACTACCAAACACACATTGGGAGAAGAATGCGGTTTAAAGTAAATTCAAAAAGTGAAAACAGAAATATATATATATATATTTAAAAATAATTACCAAGATCTTTTGCAATACCAACTTATCTTAAAATGTGTTTATTTCTCAAGGCAGTTTTTCCTAGCACCTAGCGAGATAATTAAAATCTTGACTCACTGTTAGAGTAGTCAGGATACAATGCTTCAAGTTTTCTGAAGTTTTCAATCTGATTTTTATGTCAAAACATGGCTACGGCCTCCTTCAAATTGTCTGATCTAAAGAGTTTTCAAGAAAGCAAACCACCACACCAGATGTTTATAGGTAACTTCCTTCAAAAGATGACAGAGGCATTCATAGACACTTTTTTTTGCTTATTTATTTTAAAAAAGCAAAGTCAACCTGTTTTATACATAAATATAATAAAACAATAAAAGAAGTCTAACATTCACAAACATCTCTACAAAATAATAAATATAATGGAGGCAAAAACACATACAAACTCTTTTACTGTTAACTATACTACGTGTCCTACATATATACCTTTATACCCTGCTCCTCCCAACAAAAGTGGCACATGCTTAAACCTCATCAGTGTGGCAGCATTTACCCTTCTATTGCTTAGGCTATATTCTATTTTTTTAATTGTGTTTCAATCTATTTCTAGGAAAACCAAGCCTTTCTAGAATAGCAAGTGTACTTTCTAATCAGACTTCTAGCTTTGTATTTTTCTAGATTTGTATTTTACTGCCTTTAATATACAACAGCACACTCCCTTGGTTCTCCAGGCAAACTAAAGTGAGCACTGTACCTGTGTTAGGGTATGTGCAGTTCACACTCTGATACACATAACTCTCAAGATAGACATTGATACAGATGCATTTATTAACAATGCTTCCATCTAGTCTTATTTCACTAAATTGTATTCATTACATACTGTGCATGTTAGGGGGCATGAAAGTCACAGCCTAATAATAATGAAGTTCCAACAGTATGGAAGTATTTTTACAAAAAAAAAAAAAGACTATTCACATTTCAAACCAGCTCAATTCTACCACCATAAATGGCTTTTAGAAATGCTATAAAAAACATCTGTCAAATCTAAATGGGAAGTCACAATATCCCATTTCATTAGGAGTAAATTTTGCTTTCTATGCCCTCATCTTATTGGGATAAGGATGGGAGAGAAAATGAATGCAAGGTCAAAACAATGACTTCCTGTTCTGTAAGTTTTCACTTCCACGCTGCTGCACTGCAGCTCTCAAAGTCAGCTTTCCAACTACACCATTCTTATAACATGCTATTCTGAATGCAAAGCATTACATTTTCATATGCAGTGACCCGAAACAGAAGTGTTGCAAAATATAGATTCTCAATACATTTCAGTTTTATGTGCAAAAAATCTGTACTTTTAACAGTACCCTGTGTGTGCAATTGTAGTAGTCAGTCCTGCAGCAACAAAGACTCGCTACTTGTAACATGACAAAATGTAAAACACATGCTAATTGTTCTTTGTTAAAGAACTGACAATAAAAAAGACGCCATATAAAATACAATATTTCTTTTACTCAAAAATAACTCAGTGGAAATGTATGGAATCCTGTAATACTCATAATATGGCTATTAATTATACATATGTATGCTGATGCCATAGCAATTATCCTTCAATTTTAACTACATGTAACCAAAAAATTAACTGTTCTACAAAAATAGTCCAATATTAGAGAACAATACAGAACAAAAGTATTATAAAGACTTAGAATTCACAGGGAAAACATTTTAAATTAGTTAAGCCTTCAGCTCAAAGTGCCTTAACATTTAGGCACATCCGGTAGGTATATAGTTATCTGGTGTTTTTATAGACTCACAAACAAGAATCATTCTGTCTTACCAGTTAAAACAGTTCATGTAATTTGGCTTATCGCAAGCTTTCAAACATTCCCACAAAAAAGAAAGCCAATCCTCTCACCCTTCCAACACAACATCACCACCTCTGACTTATCAGATGGCTGATGTGGGCAGGGTATGCTGACATTGCAAAGATGTGGCACTGTAAGTTTACAGCAAGACCTTGTTACTAACGGAACTGGTGATTTTGAATGAATAAATAATTGTTATGTGAATCCATTTTCAAAATGCAATGCTGTATACTACCATTGCTCTTCTGCAATTAGAAGTTCAGAACTTTGATGAAAGTTCTGCTCCATTAATTCTCTCTTTATGCATTTATAAAGCCATTAAATAGACTGGACTAATTAAACACTTGGGCATGTTACAGCTAGATGAAACTTCTGTAAATCAGTGGCACACAATCTCTAACGTCAAGTTAAACAAAGCTAAAGCAAAATTCCATCTTTGGATTTCATGTTCATGGGAATATGAATATGCATTCCGTGTCTACAACATCTTGCAAAGTTACATATAAAAAAATATACATATGGTAATCACAGTCTAAATCTCCATAGTTCACATATTTCTTAGTAAGTTCCTGAAAAGAGAAAATGCAACTGGAGCTTGCTGTCTGCTATGAACTTGTACAGATAGTGTATGTAGAGAAAATTTATCAAAGCTGTCCAATTCTTGCTGGAAATTAGCTTCTTGATATAAGTTATAGTTTATTTACTATTAACTTGGTAAATACAGATAGTAAATATTTATAAATATAAAATGCAAGCCATCAACAGCTCACTTTTGCTGAGACAGTGTCTCATCACATACAAACTTGTCACTGACAAAAGTGTTCCTTGTCCTGTAAGTCTCAACAAGTATTCCTGACTGTTAAGTAATCAATCCTATCTTAACATAGCGTATTCCCTCTCTATGGGTCTATTCCTGCTCCCACATAAGTCAATGGAAAATTCTTATTTCTCTCAGTGGAAGAGGACTAGGCAATTACGTGCTTTGAAAGTGTTACAGGATTATTCAGATCCTTTCTCAGTATGCAGAATAATAACACATAAATAATGCATGTCAATTCCCGTTTCTCCTGAAAAGTATTTTTATTTTAATGTTAATCTTATTTTTACCTTAATCTTATTTTTATCTTAATTTCTGAAATTATTACACAGGAATACTGGGGATTTGGGTCTTAGGTTTGGCAATCACTGCTTGACAGCTGAAATGTCTTAACATCCTCACAAAGTTTTTAGCTTAGATAAAAGTATATTGCCCACAAATGTTTCTACATAGTAAAAACTACATAAAAAGCTATTTTCCATATACTGTTAAAGTGGTTATGTAGTGTTGCCTATACAACTGTAGTAAGCTTTTTGCCTTCCATGTTATACATCGTAACATCGCAGGATAAAAGGCTGTATTTAAAATCAATGTCACAACAATATGTTCAGCTATATAGCTGCACTTTACAGCACTGGTCTCTTGGTGTGCTGCCATACTAAACAGTAGGGAAAAAAAACTGATAGTGAATGATAGTTTTAAACTGACACATACTTCTGACTGCTGTGTTAAGGCAGACTGAAAAATGTAAATTTCCAACACGAAATCCACAATAGGTTTTTCTAGTGTTACTGCCTAGGAATCCAAGAAGTTAACAGAAAACAGAGGCCATTGTACAGCTAGGGTAAAGGAAAGCCCCACATGAAATACAGGCAAAAAGGAAATAAGGAAGCGAACAGATAGAGCACACAACAGGAGAACAGCAAGTGAAGTACAGCAAGCAGAAGTTCCATATTATTGAAAAACCCAAATACTTCAGGGAGAGGCTGGTGAGTAAAGTTCAGTCAGGGGCTTTTTTCTTCTACCTTGTACCCAGGAACTGATTTGGGTAATACAGAACGTTTGGAACCATCTTTTCTTGGAGTAGCACTTTTGTCTCTTGTTTTTTGTCTTCCCTGAAAAGAATCCTCCTGGTTGTCTGTGGCGCAATCACCTTCAGATACATTGCCAGACGAATTGTCCTATAATAAAAATACCATAGCTATATTTTTTTTTTTTTTGGATAGACAGACAAGTGTTTTGTATGCCCCTTAGAGCCAACTAAGGTAAGAGAAGGGTACATCACTCCTTCTGCAAAAGCATAGGTTTATCACAATCTAGAACACCTTTGCTCACAACATTCATTATCTATTTTTCTCATGCTAAGAGATTGGCATCAGCAACAGCAGTCCTGTTTTCCAGTTGGTCTTGGCACCAGAGTGGAGAGCGCAACAGTTGTAATTCTTTGAACCGTTTGCCATTAAGCCAGCAAGAAATCCATTATATGTAAGATGCTGTTTACAAAGTAAAGGGCCAGCAAAAAGTTAAAAGTGCCCTTGTCATGCATTTAAAGCGTACTACCAAACAGCACTGCCTTGAATTTAATATGTGAAGGGGTTTTTTTCTGCCACCCTCATCTACTATTTTCACCAGGAGCAATCTAAATATTTAATTTGGACTGCAGCAGAAGAATGCCATCAACAGCAAAACACATTTCCATATTTAATACAGAACCAAACAACAGGATTTATGTTGCAGTTAAAGGTTTTTTTTTTTTGAGGAATGAGGAGGCAAGAAAGAGGGGAAGAGTTTCAAAGAGGGTCAGAGATCAATGTAAGCATAATAAAGAGCAGCAGCACAAGACTTTTCTCAGAAAAGTGTTAATAAAGGCTTCCAAAAAAGCTCCAGAAGGAAGCAGCATGATTATTCACATTTATTACAATAAAACCCAAGAGGCCAAATAACAATGGTGCCCTACAGTAAAACATGCTCTGTACAAACATAATAGTAATCAGCCTAAAACCAAAACAGACAAAACAGACATAGGGCAAATGGAGGAGTATAACACCAAAGCAAATCAAACTATGTGGCAACGAGAAATGCTCTGTTTCAGCATTATTTTAGGGGAAGGGTTATTTAGGACAGACCCATTAAAACACTACAGAAAAGGAAAACTGCTACCAACTTCAAACAACGGGGAGGGTGAAAAAGGAAAAAGTATAAAGCCTAGTGTAGGGCTCACCAAGGAGATCTGACAGATGGTAGGTAGCTCAAAACTTAGAGGCCTGACAACAGCCACCTCTGTGTTCAACAGATGTTTTTCCTGAACTATATGCCCATCCTCAATGACTAGCAAAGAACCCCTGCTTCCACAGCCAAACCCATTTCACAGGAATCTGATTATAAATTTTGCACATTTTTCTACACTTTTCAAACTAAAGGACATTTTTCCTTCTCCATTCTGTCACCGAAAAAGACTTCTGAACTTCTATGAAAAAATCAAAGGATAGTCTGCTTGGCCCAGTTACTTTTCTTTACCATTAACACAAATGACTGTCAGTGGAAATGGAAACTGGGAAAAAATGGTTAAAGACCAACTTTAAAACAGCTGGAGTGTGATTAAACCAAAATTCTGAGTTGACATTTAACATGCTAAGTTTATATAATTTCTTCTAAAAAAAATGCAAGCAGAAGCAGTGTATTAATAGCCCTCTCTCCTTTGTTAATCTACAAGCTGATCTCTTCCTTCCTTCTTCAGTTATGAGTATCTTTACAAAATTCAAACAAAATAAATATTTACATGGCAAAACTTAGAATTATACATACCCACCATCAAATATGTTCATCAATCAAGCTAGAAACTGGTAAATGCACTTGTGACATTCCATTGCTGCTAAAATTAGGGTTAAACCTCTGGAAAGTGGTTGTCACCAACATACAAACTACACCAATACACCAATGGTTCAGTTGCACTCAACTCATTTGAAGCTCAGCTGCTCTCAAGCATTTAAAACACTATCAAGGTAGGTATGTGGAAGTTTCCCTTAACTTTCAGCTAACGCTTAATTTTGCGTTTGCGTAAGTAGAGAGAACATAAATATTTGTTTAAAGATGTAATGTTAAACAAAAAAAACAGCACCTTTTACCCTCTTTTTTAATTGAAATAAGGTAACTGTTTCTGTACTGAGTACTTCCTGCTTCTATGTCACAAAAAGGTATGAGATTATCAACATCTCTGCTTTAGGGATAGATTCTGTGGGACTCTAAACAGTAGAATATACTGTGACCTGAACTACAGCATTCATTCTCTTCAGAAATGCTAGCAACAACTTCCCCTTGCAGAAAAGGGCACAATGAAGAACTGCATTGGGAAGTTTCTTCAAGATTTCTTAAAAAAAAAAAAAAATAAAAAAAAAATTGAAGAAAGGGCCTGAAATTTCAAGTATTTGTTCCACTTACTTTAAAAATGGATCAAAATGGAAAGCTGGAGAGCAGTGTGATAAATTAAAGTACTAAAAAAGGTCCTCCTTTCATTTTGCAAATGTTGAAAGGTTCTACTAAGAAACTAGTGAAACTAACAAAAGTGAAGGGCAAGTATTATTTTGTTCAAGAATACTTTCAGCTTATCTCACCGAATTGCCTTTGGTTTTCCGTTTTTCATCACCTCGCCCTTCCTCTGCGTCATCTGAATCTCCATCACTGTCCAATGCAGGCAGCTCTGGATCCAAAGGAGGTTCATAAAGAGCTGTGTTTAATGGCAAGTAACGAAGTTCATCTGGAGAGTATCTAAAGTTAAATAAATAAAATTAATTAATTCATGTGTACTTGATGCATAAATATTAAATCACGCAGTATACCAGGACGTCAATAAGAAAGAGTAAGAAACACTTCTTTTTTTCCAGGAAGGCACATGAAGTTCTGAAAACACAGGAAACATACTAATTTCTCCTCCCAAATGTGATACCATGTAGTACTTGTCTTCTTTGTAGAGCAGATATTCAGAGAACACAGGAGAGTGTATTTGCCATGTTCCATAACTGTGTAAGAGACCACGGAAGCACTACGAATTTTTAACCAACCCACGCTACTACGCCCAACAGACCATACACTTTGTTTATAAATGTACAGTGCCCACATAGCATGTGTACAGTTCTAACCCAGGGCACACAAATACATTCAAAGCAAAGTAAGGAAAGAATACAGCTGTACATCTGAATTCCTTGATTATTGAAGGAGAATGGAAAAATACATATAAAAATATAATTTCAGAAGAATGCAAAGATCTAATTACATTGCTTATAGCCAGATACAGCTTAACATCCATAATCTACCCTTTTTCTTTTTAACTTAAAGACTAAGAAAAAAACAAAAGTTGTCTTACTGCTGATGACAAGCATTGTAAGAAATATGATACTATTCTGATGCATATTTTGAAAGGTTGTGTCTTTCACTGAGATGGATAAGCATTTTCACTTGCAGCTTAAAAGTGCAAAATAAACATGATATAGAGTAATTTTAATTCAATTAGTTTAACAATATTGAAGTCCTTCAAGAATGTCCTGTAGCATGCAAATTTGGGGTGGGCTGTATGAACACACAGTTGAACAAGCAAGGCATTTGCAGATGAAGAGCTTCTCTAAAGAAAACCAAGCATGTTCAGAATGAATACCATCTCTGTTGTACAATGGTAAGACTTCGACAATATCTTCAAATCAGTACGTATCTGTTCAATGATAGCATGTCACTAGTAATATCTGAAATTTATGTAAACAGTCAAGGACACATTTTTCATGAAATGTAAAGATCCAGCTTGCAATGTCTTTCTTTCTCACAAATCCGACATCAAATTTATCCCACAAGAGTAACCAACATTTTTTTTTAAATTTAGGAGTTTCTAAAAATTTAAAAAAGGACAGCAAGACTGTCACACAGAAAACATGTGATCACAAGCCAGCACTACAACACTTTGATACAGAAATATTAATCTTGGTACACATGCAGAAGCAGATGATAAGTAAATACATGAGGGTGGCAGGAGTGAAATCAATGTCTCCTTTTACCATGGTAAATATCTGAGCAGGACAAATCTTAGGCACTGCAACACATCAGGGTAGACAGTACTCTTGCAATCATTACTGACTGTTGTTGACAGAAAATGTCACACTATGCATCTTTCAAGATTAGCAAGTGTCTCAAACATAAAATTAAATCAAAACCTTACAGTAAAGACACTGAAATGTTTTCCATCTGCTACATGTAGAGAAAAGACATAAGTGCAAGAGAATTGGCAGTTGGCATGCTTTTAAAATACCTTTTGTAGTACTCCTGGAACTGGCCGGGTATGAGAGCCACTGGATAAGGACTAACCTTTGTTCTCTCTGTAGGTAAGATTTTGTATTTTCCTTGAGGCACCTGGATAATCTGCATTGTTTAATATAAAACAATGACATTTTTGTTTCACATACAAACTGTTGAGTCTTTCTCACCAACTATTCCCCCAAATATTTCTTAACTAGTCAGTTTTATTGAATTGGGAGAGCTACCTGAGTTCTGCCATGAGAAATTCAATTCATTCAAACAGAAGAGGTCCCATTCACAAAACAGTATTATTTATTAAATCCAATCCCTAAGTATCTAGTGAACTGAATGAACATTACGTAAGTACTTCAAACAGTGTATTAGGAAAAGTAATTTTAATATTAAAATCTAGCAATTGAAACAGTAAACATTAACTTTTGTGCGTGGCATCCTTAGCATGAATTTTCACTGTTGGCCCATACTGGTTGAAAGAACACATCCCTCTAAGTCTGAAACCAGAGTAGTATAAAAAATTCCATTAATAATACAAATACAAGGAAAGGAGAAGTATACATTGAAGCCTTCCTTCCCTCAGAAGGAAATAAAATTAATTATCTGCTATCTTGCCTCTAATATGGGTCAATACCAGAAAGATGTAAAATTTCCACAATAGACTGCCATGTAATAATTTGCAGAGAAAATTTTGGTGTCTGTATAGAAGCAGAACAGTACTGCTTCAAAATGTCAGCTAATTTTTTTTAATCAGTCACAGAGGCATGTAATATATGCAATACAAAAATAATGTAACATCTAATGAAAAAAGGGCATAACACTGACAGCAACACTCTTTTAAAGAATAAATAATTTTCTTTTTTACTTCAGGTATTGTTCCAGCAAAATTTTGGAGGTATTCCAAAGAAGAATTAGCCGTTTATATGCATAGATATAGTAGCAACAGAAGCTTCTTAGTAACCTAAACAACCCTCTTAGTTTTATTCTTCTACCATCAGATTAAAGACATGATAATAAAATAACACTGATATTTTTAGAGCTTCCTGAGACAAGTATTTTCAAGTTAAAAACGTTTTCAGATTAAATACATTTGAGATTATTTTTAGCAGTATTACCCATTTAAGAGTAAAACTGTGTAAGTCCCTACATGACTGAAACAATAATCAAAAACCTTTACAGAAGTTAAAATGGTACCAAAACCAACTTTACTAAAACAAGTAAGGAGCTACCTGTTAACATTGGTAAGAAATTTAAATCTGCCTACATGAGTCTGTAAATCAAAATAGGCTCTTCTTTCTTCCATCCGCTCTCGGTTTAAATTGCTGTTGAATTCTGCAGCTTTCTTGGCAGCTTTTTTAATGTATTCTGGAACTTTACTGGCTTCTACTTTCTGTGTGTTCTGCTGCTGCATTTGCTGGAATAAAAACAATTTTATTAATCCGCATACATTTCACTATCAGTTTGAGAACAGCCTTTTCTCACACTTAGTGTTACAGATGCGGTTCACTTATATGCTAATTACTTACAGAGTACTCTTTATAATGATCTGTTATTCGCTGACGTTCTTTCTCTTGCAGTATAACAGAATACTCAGCATGTTTGGCAGGGTATTCCTTAATCATAAGATCAATTACTTCATCACTACGCAAAGCTGTTAGACCTAAAATAGATAAAAGCAATAATGATGCTGTCTGGCAAAAGCAACTGTCGGTTATTTATATCCCACAATAACCAACTCAAGTTTTTGAGCAGCGAAAGACAACAACCTACTTTGCCTGTAATTTCTTCCTTACAGCTACAGACCCCTTCAAATTGACTTAACCACCTACTTAGAACTCCACAGTGAGGCAGAACCTTTGTTCTAGATGGCACCTAGTAAACTGTTAGTTTCAGTTTCCAACACCGATCAAATCTTAGTTTCATTAACCTGCAGAACCTTTACTGAAATTATGAGGTTTACATAACGCCTCATACAAATCAAGAAAGAATCAACATGAGGGCAATTCAGAGCAGCAAACTGCTCACAGACTCCTAACTCCCAAATAAAGCATCTGAAGTTCATAAGTCAAAACACCTCACTTTGCAGCCACAATGCAGAACTCTTCTTTTAGAGGTTCCAATACAACTAATCTCCAAACACAGACAATGGAATGGAATGACTTATGTTACTACCACTGGTTGTAAATATAACCTTAAAAATATGGGTAGTTGACTCAGCACACATCTCTGTTGAATATATGAGACAGAATATAACATTTTACTTCTATTAATAAAAATTAGATATGGTCTCATCTGTATAGTCAAGTTAAAACAAATAAATACAGAGGTGGCAGGTGAGAAATAAAGGTGGTATACCAAAGATTGTTAGTATTTAAAATGACATTACATTTACACATTTACCCATGATATACAGAAAAAAATGTGGCAGGCATCATTTAAACTCTAACATGTCCAAGCCACATATATTAGCAGGGTAAGAAAAATATTCTTTAAGCTCTTTCAATGTAAGCCTTAATTACATCATTCCATTTCAAGTACATTAAAGTGCCTTAATATACACTCTTCTCATCTCTAACATAGAAGTGAGACCATTTAAGAGCTCCAACCAATGCAGCAAAACAAGACTGATGTGCTTTTTATTTGAAAAATTACGGTAGTCTGTTTCTTAGGAGAAAAAGGTTCTAGAAGTTAATTTACCAGCTAGCAAAATCCCTTCTAAGTAATTAGAATAGATCCAAAATATATATTTTTTTATAATAAATCTGGAATATTGATACTTCATGGTCAATTTACCAAATTAATAATAAACCAGTTTTAATTTCAGAATTTAAGTTTTCAGTTGAGAGTGATGCAATTCTTCTCTACTAAACTGAACCCCCTTTTTCTGTGTGTCATAGTTTTTATACTGTAACAAGGACTCAACAATTTGTTTTCTTACCTAGTGTGCATTGAGTCTCTGTGATAACATTTAGTTCTCTGAGGTAGAGTTTCTCCTTGTGAGACAGATCTCGTCTTTCTAAATCTCCAAAGAAAACAAGAAAGAGCAATAAAAATGTGTGCAGTTACTCAAACTCCTCCATAAACACTGTCAAAGTATTTTGACAATTTTGTTTCCAGGCAGCTAGTCTGTATTATATTACTACTTCAACAAACACTGTAATTTTATAAAATAATTTTAAATTTAATACACAGTGTAGGGACATGGTCAATTTTCTTGAGTACCCCGCCTGCAGTTATGATTTACAGAAAACTAAAGAAAACTGATATATGAATTTAGATGCAATAATTATTAACAAGCATTAAAAGTACAGTCTTTTTTAATTTTACTATGCCTTTTAAAAATAAATTCTATGACAGAAGTTTCAGATTTAACAATTCTGAATAATGAAGGCTCAAATACTAGAACCTCCACAATTAGTTTTAAAATTCTTCCACAATGTAGGAATGTTGCCACAATTCAGGAAATAAAATATATAGTTAAATAGTAAGAAATTACCAACAAAATACTTAAAAATAAAATTGAGGTAATTTTCAAAAGGTACTTGCTGATCTAATCCCCAAATCAGACTTGTTTACAAATTTTTAGTGGCAATACCAAAAAATCTTATATTATTTCAAAAACCACAGAATACACTTTCAATACACCAGTTACAAAAATAAAAAGCACAACATATATAATCCAGGTATGCTTTTGCTAGGTCTTTTTTTAAACAGTTGGCTCATGCTATAATCAAAGAGACACAGACTACATCTGTTCAAAGACACAGTTCTGTAGAAGAAAAACTTTAAAAATAAATACCTGGATATTTTCTTTTAAAGGAAGTTACACCCAAATATTCACTGACTTGCTCCTGTAGCATATAGTATTCTCCTGTTTCATCTGGTGGCCATTTGTATTCTATCAAATTTTCAGCAGGAAAATAACTATATCTAAATATAAGAACAATGTTAGAATAAAGCACAAGAATCCTTAAGTGTAATACTTACATTTCAAAAAATTCAATAATTCCTATTTATATGGCAATAAACAGTAACTATGAAGTTGGACAAGCACTTCAGAACACTACATCTTGTTAATCCATTTCAAAGTCACTTTGTTACACCCAGTTACTTTGTTACACCCAACTTCACATACCATTCACCCAAATAACCATTCATCAGCATGCTAAGAGACAGAACATGAAGGAAGTGATATATATTGTAGTGGAGAGGATACCAGGAAAAGAAACTACTACAATATCAAAATTCATTCAAGAAGTATGCAATGTTTTAAAAACATGTCAGCTATGTTTCTGATTTTGTATCAGATGCAGCACTTTTTGTAGCATTTTAAAATAAAATGCCTTAAAATATGCTGGGAGCAAAAGACAGCCAGCTATTCATAGAACATCGCCTCAATTCAGAAAGATGTATGAAGAATATGAAAGTAAAGAAAAAAGAGCTTTACTTAAGCATATTGAACAATACAGTAAAACTTGCAATAAAAAAAGTGAGAATTGTAAAAAATGGTATTACCCAAGGTCTTGACTAGAGGTTTCACAGCTCCGAGAACTGTCCCCTGAGCCCATACGCCGTCTTTTGGATGGTTGGCTGCCATCATTGGAATTTTCTTCTGTGTCATCCTGAAATGCAAATGAAGGTAAATATTAAAAAATTAAGAATATTCAGCAGAGGGTGTAAAACATCAAAAAATATTGCAAAGCAACCCGCCATCTAAATATACCTGAACTACTGAGCTGTTCTATGTATTCTTAACAAAAAACTCATAAGACAGCTTATGCAGCAAATTATTCTTTGCTATAAACCAGCTGCATAAGACATGCTGGCACAGAAGTAGAGTTAGGTGGTTCCTCACCTGTTGCGCTGGTGGACTGAATACACAGAGCTGTAGCTCTGACCACCAATAATTCCTGATGTAAACTATCGCTGGAACTTAATCAGACTAGCTCTCAAAAACTGCAAGTGCAGAGCAAAAACACCAAGCCCTTGCTGAGAGCTGATGCTTAAAAATCAGGGAAAATATAATTGAAAGCAACGCAGGAGTTTATAGGCATACAGTTATCATACAGTATCATTACAGCAAGGAGCAAAGACTTGTGTTTTGTGAGGAAAAAAAAACATGAAAGAAAAAACCTGACTTCATATTGCAACAGATACAGAACAAAGCTATTACAAGGGAACACTCAGAAGTTAAGTTACAGGTGCACAGATTTCATGAGATCTGTACAAAGAAAGGGAATGAAGGGCGAAGAAGAGAAAAAAGGACCAAAACAAAACATAGAGTTCTGTAAAATCTAGAAGACCAGTGACTCAGCTGATCTTGCATTTTTCACTGCTTTGTTGTCCAACAATGCTATACAGCTCCTACCTGCATCATCAACAACTCTCAAAGCATTTAGTGACCAACCCTGTCTGATCAAAACCGAGATACGAAAAGCAGAAAACTCCAAGTAAATTGCCTATTGCAACAGGTAGTAGAGTCAAGAACAAGACAATTTTTTATAGTTGAATCTCTAAAGTGGAGTAGCATGAAAGAATCACATTTTATAACTTCCATGAAAGTTTAAGCAAGAAGAATTAACCTGTCAGAAATAAATGGATCAAGCCCAATTATACTTACTTACTTAATAATGCATTCTTGATTATTAGGTTTATGTTTCCTAATGTCTTTCATTCTAGTAGGCTTTACATATCATAGGACTTGAAATATCAATTTAGAAATATTCCAGCAAATCCGAATACATTACTTTGGTTATGTAACATTTCACAATGCTATAATCAAGACAGGCTATTGGGAAAAAGAATTTGTCTCCTGTATTTTTGGTTTATTTCTTGTTTTTCACAATTCTTCACAAATTTTCTTTCTTGTTAAGGAGCAAGAATATCTTTCACACAATAATAAAAAGTGAAAAGCAAAATATAATGAAACTGTTTTCTTAATGCAGCCATCCTGCTGTATAAACTCAGGTAGACAAACCAAGCAGCAGTCCCCAATCAAAACAATACTGCACTATTTTTTGACACAGCTATGTCTCATCAGCAGTTCATCCCTACTTCCCACACAGAATATTAATGCACTCTAAACCTTCTGAACTGCTAGACAGGATGAAAGCAATGCTCTACTATACCAAAACCACCAAGAGACTTCAAAACATCTTTAAAAGATAGATCTCAACCTGACAGGTTGGTGGAAGTGCCTCATATCAATTTCTACTTTCACTTCGTAATTTTTCTTTTATTAAATCCTGTAGTGTTAAAACAATGAGTACCCATACCACAGTAGAGATGAATGTCCTCCACTTACAATTTTGCTTACTTATTTGATAAAACTTCAGCAAATTCAATCACACAAGCTCATAAGTAAGTTTGTTGCAGAGGACTTAGCAGAAGTGAAAACACTGGCGGTGCGATCTAAGACACGCGGCTGTTCAACCACTCCTACTGTTCCAAAAAAAAAAAAAAAAGAAAAAAAAGAAAAAGGGGACACTTCTGTGGCTTTCTTTACATGACAAGTAAGTCAAACACTGCCAAAAAAACGCCCCTTCCTCCCCTAAAATTTCCTTAGGAAAAGTGACGTTCCGAACTCCTGGTAGGTCTATTAATTATAAGATCGACGGAACGATCCTTTATTATGCGATCGGGAAGCCTGAACTACCCGAGATGTGTTTCAAAGAGCGATGTGTTTCGATCTGCGTCGCGAGTCCTCGGCGCCACAAGTGCCCGTGGTTCCTGGGACGCGCCGGTGCAGCCCGGCGGGGTCAACGCGGAACTGCCCGCGGCCGAACCCAAACTTTCCCGGCTGCGGCGCTGCCGCACCGCCCCCGGAAAGGCGCCGAAGGACTTTTCGGAAGCAGGGCGGCCGCGGGCACCCAGCCCCAGACCCGCGCCCTGAGCCGAACTTCGGGCGCAGGAGGCCGCCCGGCTCCCCCGGCGGGCGTGAGGCGAGCCTGGGGCAGGCGGGTAGGGGGGGGTTTCAGCGCCCAGGCGGGGGAGCCGCGTGAGGCCTCCCGCCGAGGCGGCTGTAGCGCCGCAGCCCCACGGCCGCCGTCGCCCGCTCTCACCTTGAGGGACTGCGCGCCAGGCGTGGCGGGGTCGCTGTCGCAGAGGCGCGGGGACAGCACAGCCGCCATGGCTGCCGCCGGCTGGGCCAGGAGCAGCGCCGCCGCCGCCGCCGCGCGACCGGGCCTCGCGCCGCGCCCGCCAGCCCCGCCCCCCCGCGCCCTGCGGGGGGCG